TGTGCTCCCAGCAGGCAAGGAATTTTATTCAAACAAATGAATGAGATGAATACCGTACTGGTTTGATTGTCTCTGACTTATAGGCGTATCTATTGTTCGACGATAATGTGTTCATAAAAGAAGAATCCGACAGATATGGCACAGCTTCGAACGTTCCTGGTTTGATAACGGTTGCTACCGAAGGAATCTGAATCGTTAGCAAAATCAGATGAGCTTTTATAGAGTAAGTAAACGGAATAAACGGTAATTGTCTTGAGTTGTAAAAAGAAGGGAACATGATTGTAGAGAAAGCTGTCGAGCAACTATGCCACGTCATGTCTGTCTGTATGCGCCCTCTGACCAAGGTGAGGTCCTAAATAGGATATCTCTCAGTAAACCTCCGCTTTTTGCCGGTATCTTTATGAATGCCACCGTCCCTCTGCTTTTGCATCAATGCATCCCCATTCTCCCGGAATCTCCCTCAATCACATGTGCTGGGGGAAATGAGCGCAGAGCCGCGCGAGCTTAAAGCCCTGTGTTATAAGTGGAGCGTAGAATAGTTCCTCTCAAATGGAAGTACAGCATAGCCCCTGAAGTGGTTCCGGACTCCCTTTGCGCGCGATATCGGTTGAGGTGGAGGTGGTGTAGTGACAGGAGCGCTTACGATCGCGGTTCCTGGGTTCAAATCCCGGGTCGACTCCCGCCCAGGCCAACCAAGCCTTCTACCCTCCGGGACGGTAAATTGGTACCAGATTCGTCTGGGAGGATAAGAACACTGACTTGTACATCGGCTGGCCCCCGCTATTCATTTTGTAGGATTCAATTAGCCAGCAAGATTCTGAATGGAAGTAGAATGCGTGCCGCATCCCAGGGTTGATCAACGGCGAAGACTTTATCCTTTTATCCCTATCGGTTGCAAATAGAAGAGTCGCTCGTATACCAAATCCAAGGAAACTCACTGAGAAAGAAAAATCTTTTAGTTAACTGAAATATCAAAAAATCCAGGGCGCAAAGAAGACGCGGTATGACGGTATGACTGGGAAATGCCTGAATAAGCCATGGTGTGGCACAGAGGCGACCACGCGTGCACCCCTACCCCCTTCCCCCAGAGAAAAATGAATTTTTGTGGGAAAGAAGAGCAATTTTTTCACCTCGGAATATTCATCCTTCGTCCGTACGAGACCTCCATCTCGTGTCCATGACGTCGTGTATGTGTCTTTGAGGAACACTTTTCCGGAGAAAAGATCATCAAATGTGAATTTCCGATATTCAGGACGGTAGTTTCGAAACGATAATCTAGTAGTAGATCGACTACTGTTTTCGTTCGAGGATAGCGGTAGATGTGATTCATCTTCGCTGAGATGTACTGCTAAAATGGCTTGCTTGAGCTGCCCACAGTCAACAATACTGCCGTTAAATACAAAAAGGTAATAAATAGTGGAAAAACTCAGGAAATATTTACGTTCTTGTGTCAGAAGTAAAGCAATGGAAACAACGACCAGAATAATCGTCACCAAGAAGAACGCTGCAATCAGTAGTCGGACGAATGTACGCGAATGGCGAGGTTCGTCAGAGGTGTTCTGAAGAAATGAATCATGCCAAAAGTATGTATGAGTTTTTGGAATGCTTATAGTTTCAAAAGGAGGATTAAAGACAGCTCCCGCGCTCTAGTAATTCGTGGTCGTCCTTCCTGGTGCAAGGCAGTCCTGCCCTCTTCCCCCCCCCCCAGCTAGAGACTGTCCCACTTTCGCGACTCCATAGCGAGCGAGGAGGATGCTACAGCCGCTGAAAGTTCTAGTTCTAACGCCCGCTCAGTTGGACCGCCCACTTGCTAGATGTTCTCTCCGCGTCTGACGCAGGGCCGCTCAGTTGTTCTTTGTTGGGGAGGGAACTGAAAAAAGTTTCCGCGATAAAGTGTCATGGATAGTTGCTGTTCATTATGAAACATTAGCTGATAAGTAATTCCCCAAAGCAGAAAAAAAAAGCAAGGAAAGTTCTCAAGATCACCTTGATAGTCATACCGCCCTGCGGTCCGTGTACAACCCCTGGCTCACCAAATCGGTTTTTCCCATCTCCCATTAGTAGATATCATCCAATGCAAAGCAAAGAATAAGAAGCAACAAGGAACGAAAAACAACAAAAAACACGAACGAAAAACTCTTGACAAAAAAATTTCAAAAACTCGGCGTCCGAATTCAGGGTTACGGTAGCGTGCATCTTTTAGTGCGTCTCGAGCTTTTGCACTACGAAAATTGCATCACTCGTGATTTTTACGCGTTTTACCTTGCAAGATGGGTTGCATTTGACTGAATGTGCTCCTAATGAATAAAATGTAATAAAGGAGAGCAGAATTACTTATTGGCACCAGCGCGGTCAGCAAAAAGGACATGCACTTCCGATTAATGCCCGCCGCCCAACAAAGAACAACTGAGCGGCCCTCCGTCAGAGGGCATCTAGCAAGGGCGGTCCAACTGGGCGGGCGTTAGAACTAGAACTTTCAGCGGCTGTAGCTCGCTCCTCGCTCGCTGTGGAGTCGCGAGAGTGGGACAGTCTCTAGCTTGGGGGCTGTACTACTTGCACAAGGAAGGACGACCATGTACTACTTGAGCGCGGGGGCTGTCTTCAACCAATTCGGAATTGCATGTCCATTTCTGCTAACCACTCTCGTGCCCATGAGTAATCTACTCTTCTTTATTACATTTCATTCATTATTAGAATATACAGTCAACCGCAACCCATATTGCAAGGTAAAACGGGGTTAAGATCACCATCGAATGCAAAATTTTTTGGGTGCTCAAGCTTCGACTTGCACAATAAGGTGCACTCCACCATCAATCCTGGAATTGTAGTCAGAGTTTGGGTGTGCAATTTTTTTATTGCCATTTTTCATTCGATAGGTTCTTTTCTTTGTGTTTTCTTTTTTTTCTTGTTTTTTGTTGTTTTCGTTATTCTTTTCTTTGCATGTTATGATATTTTAGACATGCTGATGCGGAAAAGCGACATTTTGAGCGGAAGGCTTTCTTTTCATAATGAGCGCGTTTGATTTATTTACAATTCTTGCTTTTTTTCTCTTTTTGCTGATAATTTATCAGTCTAGTCAACTCTATTTACACTTGATCGCCGGACCTTTTTTAATGGTTATCACATTTTTTCATATCACATTTTAGCCAATAGCAGTAAGCCTTTGATACATTTTGGAAGTTTCGGCGCATTATTATAAAGTTAAATCAGCTGTATAAAACCAATTTTGATCAGTTCCAGTAACGTACGGATTTATCCATGTCGTTGACTTCGGACACACATTTCTATGAAACGTCTCTATACCAGCACAAGTCCCTGCTTGGCAAGGATTCTCTGACGAGGCCTGTTTGCGCTAAAACAGTGCTGGTTGATGATCACTGAAATCATTGCTGGCCTGAGAACAGAATACAAAGCGAAATCGACCGCTACATCCGATGAATTATCACAAGTTATGCATAGCAATAGTGCGAATTAAGAACACAACAAATTACAGTACTTTATATTTCTACAGACTTTCCAATTCTAGTTTTTTATGATAATACTAAAATTGACTTGTTTTCTCTGGGGTATACAAGCTTGTTTGGGCGCGACACCTCGCAAAAATGTCAGCGCTGGTGTCTGGCTGACATTTCTTACAAGTCTTTATTTTGGTTGTGTGAAGTCTGTATTTTCTTGGTTTCTTTGAATACACTTTATGTTCAAAAATAGATCGCCTCACATTATAAGGATAAGCAAAAATGCAGAAGCAGTACGTGCAAAGAAAGGATGCGCTGAAAAATATACTCGCGGTGGGGCGGGAGCCGCGAGTGTGTCCGTATGACTCCAAAAAAATTAGGTCGTCAGTCTGAGACGAGTAGTGGCTACATCCAAAGCACCAACTGTTGGAGGCTGGAGAGTAGAGCAAGAAGAACGTGTGGAGGTCTGAGTAAACGAAGCGACGGAGTCGATGCTTGAAGATCAGAGTGAAGTGCCGGCAGCGCTCAAGTGACTGACTGGCATTCACGCAGAACTATTGGAAGCACAGATCTAGCATCCTTATCTATCCCTTGAGCGCAGAGTAGACGTGGAATTTTGAACAGTGACACCACACGTGGGTCTATCGATCAAACATTCCAGGTCGTGGGCAACTGTCACTACTATGGCTATTCAGGCTCGCTCCGGGGACAGAACATAAACATTCGTAGATGAAAATATCTCACCAGAAGCATAGACTCCTTCAGGTAAGTCGGAGCAGTGAGCCACGCCTACCCGGTCCTCAGGGATTTCGAGTATAGCGTGGTGACATGTACTGTTACTTCAGAACATGTCATACGTTGTGGAATCTCCGTAGTGTGGAGGGAGATGAGGTCAAATTCTCGTTGTTGGGAGAGCGGGAGGGGTCGTACTTGCCTCGGAGGGAAATTCACGGGTTATGCCGTAAAAAAATTTTTCCCGGTTGATGTCTTGTTGGTGGTTTATTTCCCTTATGAATGCTATATTCCTCCCTCCTTCGCGTCTAGAATAACAGAGAAATCAGGTAAAAAACACCTAATGCCAACCTCCAAAGAATTTTCGGCTGAAATTTCGGTGAAAGACTTGGCGCACAAAATGCAGTGCTAGGGCAAATCTAGGACATATTGGGGTTCAAGGATGAGGAAGGGCGTTCGCTATTCAGCAGGTGAAGGAATCACGGGGAAAGAGTCGTTTTCCGCAAACTTGTTTCCCAGCGGACTGTGTTGCTCACAGCTGTGCACAGTCGGATGAGGTCGGGTCGGGGCGGGCGGCGCGAGGAGCGCCCCGCGATGGGCGCGTGAAATCTCAGAGCGGCTTCCGGGCCCAGGTGATCAACCTTGCCAACCTTCCTGTGAGTCAGTCAGTTCGCACCAGAGTAGTCTGGTAAGATAGAAACACTCAGTTGTAGATGGGCTGACCCTCGAGAGGGATTGTGAGTAGACCAGATCGCACTAAAAGTCACTGCGTCATTTATTAAAAATGTAGTGTCAAGGTATAAGTGAAACGCGTGAGCGATACGGGAGTGCCGGAAGGAGGTCAGCAGTTCCAGTCATCCCATAAATTTTCTTCAGTTTGATAAAAAAATTTGCTTTACAGGCAGAATTTTTCCGAAAACATCTGCAGATTACTTACTCATTGACGACTGATCGCTTTTGAGTCGAATAAGATACTCAATTTATTGGAAGGTAGTTTCTGGGTCTACTTGTTAGTTCTGACTTGTTTTATGTTGTTGATTACCGTATAGATTTCTTTTCAGTACAAAACAAGTACAGCAAATGGAATTCAAGGTTCTTAATATAAGATTTCAGAGGAACTGGAATGCTTGACACATCCCAAAAAGTATCTATTAATATCGTTTTCTATTTATATTTTGCAGAAAGAAGTTTATTTTACAGGGCTGATACGTGCAGGATATAATTCATGAAATATCTGATTTTGGAGGGATGGAAGCGTCTTCCATGAAGTTTGAGACGGCATCCAATTTATGGACTTGCAAGGAGGAGGAGAAGTGCTAAGCTAAAAAAGCTTGAAATCGGTTGCTGCCAATGTGACTCTAGATCAGATAGGAAAGGACACGAAAAAAAAATTGTTAAAAATCTGGTTCCATTCAACGAATAATATTTATAATGTCCTCATATAAACCCATATTTAATACTATGCAAAAACACGGGAGCAGGGCTAGTTTACTGATCATTCTTGGGAGCAGCGCAAGTATTCAGAGATATGAAGGGCAGTGGGTCAAAATATCGGGTGAAAGGCAGCAGGCACATTCATTTGGGGGGGAGGAAAATTTGACCCCCTCTCTACCATTTCCTGAACTTTCCCCCAACCTCCTACCTTTTTTTCCGGAATTTCCCGAAACTTTTCCTAGTTTTTCCCAAAAATTTTGCTGTCGAGCGAGAGCGTGGTGCACATGAAACAGTAAAAACCAGGAAGAGCCAGCAACCTCTTCCAGAAGGTCATTAAAAGAATACGATCCCCCCTTTTTTTTAAAACATCATGAAGGAAGAAAAATCAACTACTGAAAAAATTGTTCTCAGCCCAAATACGACCCCTCTCCCAGCGACCAAGTACGACCCCCTCCTCCTCCTCTTACTGGTGATCCAGAGCGAGGGGCCCGGAAAGGCAATCCGCTTGCTAGTTCTTAGGTGCGATGCGGCTAAACGGTTCTTTGACACGGTCAAAAGATGTATTCTAGTAAAGTTAGATGGTGCGTTGAGACGTTGCTGTCATTGGTAATCCTCTGCTGAGCCGCTTTGTACTGCAAGACTTAGGCATTGAAATGACTAGAATTTTTAGTAGGGCCGCTGTTAGGTAGAACAACGTTAGACTAGCGAGGAGGGCCTGCTGCCTAGAAAAAGAAAGAAAAGCCACTTGGAAAAACGCGCCATGTGCTGGGGAACAGGGTCGTCGGCTGTTTTTATAAACAAGTAGATAAGGATCAGAAGGAAAAAAATGTGGAAAGTGTAGAGCTAGCTTAAAAGAGACACGTTCCGCCACTGCAAAAAGTAGCAGGGCTTAGGGGGGGGGAGGAAGTTCGCAAAGATGCTTTCAGAAGTTTCTAAGTTTCTATAGAGGTGCTAAATGGCCATACAGTAAAGAAGGAAGAACTTATAGAGAGGGTTCCAAATGATTACATCATCATGTAGCTAATGTCATTAGGGGCCGTAGTTTACCGTGAAAGTAATATTTTTTCTTTCTTCATTGTAGAATTACTGATTTTTCCAGCGTTATACATCCCCACCCGAACCATACTAGTTAGCAGCACGGTAAAACATTTACGATAGTCAACCAGAACTGTGTACCACTCCCAACCCTCCCCCCCCCCGTGGCGCCTCCCCGACCTATTCGAAGGAAAATTTCGGGGAAATTTAGTATAACGGTAAGTAGTAGGTTATGAAAGGTTAAAGGTAGTTGGCACGATAAATCCCTAAGACGAGTAGGACTGATAGGCTTGGCAGGACGGAAGTCTGCTCCGGGAGCAGGCGCTGCGTAGCTATTTTTCCAAGGGAGGTACACTTATACCCTACCAAGCTGCAACATACCGATCCGGACGCCCACCGCGCCCGCCCGCCCACAAATGGACGACCGCACCTGGTGCTCGTATTGCTTTATTTCCCGAGTAAAATACGCGGTGTTGCATGGATATAGTACATACATGCAGCCGCATCCACCACAGCGGTATTGACAAGATACCTACGGGAAACTTGTTCGAAATTGCTTTTTCGAGTCTTTGAGAACGGAGGCTTTTTCGCAGGTTTTTGCTGTTCCACTTCATTTTTTCATCATTCCCACTATAAAGCACCATGCCAGCATTTTAGACCGAGCACCAAGTTATTGTGCCACATGCCTCAAAAGGGAGTCGTACCAAGACCTCATCCGGCGTCGTACTGACACCACCACTTAACCTTACCCAGTACTGTACACTGAGTGGGACTCGGCTGATTAGGCTGCTTGGAAAATTGGTGGTTTCAAACGCAGAGACACTCACAGCTGCTAGAAAGAAACCTGACAATCTTAAGAAACTAGCAGCTGCAGATGCAAAGGCTCCTATGACGAACATTCAGTACCGAAAAGACAGACTATGAGAGGTTGATGATCTTAACATCATAAAGGAGGAAGAGAACTTAAAGGCACGTTCCGCGATAAACTAAGGCTAGGTTCTCATAACCGTGCACGATGGTCAAGCAGGCAACGTCAGAGGCTATGCTTTTAAAAGTTGAAAAACAGCAAGCAAAACGCAGCGCGCTCAGGTTTTAGGCCCATTGGCGCCCGATAGGCCCATGCCGGCCTCCAGTGACCGTGTCGTTGTGAGACTGCCATTGCGCTCTCTCGCCCGTCGTTTTCTGGCCTCTCTCGTCTCTTATCAGTGTATCGCCGCCTTTCGCAATTCACAATTGATCTTGACCACCTTACGCTCGTCCGGTGATCATGATCAATTGCAATAAAGAGGGTCTTATTCCGGGCGCTTTTTCGTGCTTCCTTCTCTTCAATAAGTCAACAAACACAGGGCAAGTTCTATTTTTGAACTGTATTACCTATGAAGTGTGGTCGCGGGAATTGCCTTTAACGGTACCAGCTGGGAAACGGGCAAGAGTATCGTTAATCGCCGCTTCGTCGCGGGTGGCAGTGGGCGCGACGTCCCCTTAATTTGCACTACCCTTTCGATTGGAGCATCGGATTTCATGTAGACAAGGACATGGTAGACACTTATGTCTATTTTTGGTCATACATTGTCTATTCTCGACCAATACCACCTGAAATCGTC